TCATAGATATTTCAGGAATAATATTTTCCTTGTAGTAAGCCATATATAATAATATTAAAATATTATGGCTAGATATGCTCAGTTTATTGTAAATGATACTTTTCCTAGCAGGGCATGATTATGAGATCATACATCAATAATGTCTTATCAACTTGAAAAACAAGTTCAAGGAGAAGGCTTCTGATTAAAAACAAAGTCACTCCGAAGAGCCCCATTTATTCTTTGGCAATCACAGCAAATACTTTCATTTATTTGGATGAATTATTGGGGGGGAAAAGTCATCACAAATCAGGTGACCATAGGAAGATACTATAATTTGATTTAAAATTAGTGAAGAAAGATCTGCAGTCCCAGACTACACAAGTAATATTGAAGCATCAATTTTAAAGAAATCATTTTCATGCTGTGTATCTTCATAATCTAAATGAAATTTATTTGATGTTTCAAAGTACATATATACAATTTATTTAATGATAACATAAAAATATTTTCAAGTTTCAAGTCCTTATTTAAATCATCATTTAAGTAAATGTCTCCTTGAATTTGAAAAAACATATATTAAAATATTGTAGGCAATCTAATGAAAATTACTAACTTACAAAAAGATAACATTAATCATTCATTATTATTCCCTTTCCCCCTTCACTAAACTGCAAATTAAATATTCTCTTTTTTGTTCATAGCAGGTATATACTGGACTCATTCTTCCCCTAGATGTGTTTTTATATCAGTAAATTCCTTCAGATAATTATGTAGGCCACAAATAACAGCTTGCATATTTCTTGTAAAAGAAAAGCTAAGACAAAGAATTTGCTGATACACTCATGTCGCTCCAAGAATTCTCCTGACAATGTTCCCACACCCAACCTAATTACTTCCCTACTATAAAAACATATTCCCTCTGCACTTATTCTAATACTCTCAAGTCCAAAACCAATACACAATAAAGTCAGTTAAATAAATTAAGGATTGAAACCCATATAAAAAATCCTCAGAGATTCTGCAAGGGAAAGCATCTCCAACATCCATTTTATGCTGACATTTCACTTTATGTATAATATTTTCTTAAGCCCTGTTTATGAAAGAATTATCATGTTCCAGGCATATATTCTCTACCATAGCACGCTCTTAGTGTCACTCTAGTTTAAGGTTTATTATTGACTTTATATAATACTTTGCTCTACTGTACAACAAATTTTCATTTGAAATGTATATAGCAGCAATCTCCAAACTTTCTGGCACCAAGTGTCATTTTTGTGGAAGGCAATTTTTCCACGAAAAAGGGAGGGATCATTTCATGCTCAATCTACAACCTACACATGTGCAGATGACATTTTGCTTACTCGCCCACTGATTGCACAACTCAGTTTCTAACAGGCAGGTAATAGTCTTATTGTATTGCAAAAATAGAGACAAACACAACAAACACTGAAATGTATTATATGTAATTTTTATTGATATCTGTTCCATTTTTATTTCATGTAAAAGACAGAAACAGATGTTATAAATCATAATCCATATTTTGCCCTAGTTTTAATCTTGGCATATACAGTATATGTATGTATAGTCCAAATCATGGACTATATAAATGTGCAGCATTTTTAATTTTTGATAATAATCCACCCTCTTATTTTCATTATTTTTTGGCTTTAATTATTAGTTTTATAAATAATTTAATAGCTGATTATCACTCAAATGTGTCAAATACCTGGAATTCTGAGATTCTGAAACATCTAAATCTGGGCACGTTTTTTTCACCTGCAAAAAAAGAAATAGAAAAGAAATCATGCTTACAAGTGATCATAACCACAAAGATTTCCTCATTTGAAGTTCATGCACTTACCTCATAAAAAATGAATATTTATTACTCACCACAATCTCTATAAAATGCTTCTCATATTCTACTATATGGACATACGATGTACAGAGAGTGTTTAATTATTCTATCAACAGATTCCAACTTAACAGCAGTTTGAGAAAATTTGAAGTACAGAAATCAAACGTCTAAGTTTGTCCACATAGAAATCAGAAAGACAGGCTGTTTTCAATTCTATAGAATTGTTTTCTGAACTGATATCCACTTCAAACTTTAATTAATAAGAAATATTTATTGATGATGTTCAAAATACAAGTGAAAATCATTGTTGTATTTTATTTAAGAGCAATAAATAGCAAGCCTCAGCTTCCCCCTTTCTCCACTTTTGCACCTATTATCAAAAACTCAAAAGGTATTCATTACCAGTGTTTAATGCACCAAGCAGTGGTGGGTTGCAGGTGGTATGCCCCGGTACAAGCAAATAGGAGCCTGCCCGGAGCACCGGGTACCGTTCCGGTATGGTGCTCTGGAGGGCCCACCCGCCCGCCTGAGCTCCTTACCTGTCCTTTAAAGCCTTCAGTGCTTCCGTGCATGCGCATAGCGTGTATAGTACCTACATGACACTCCGCTGAGCAGCTGGAGCATCGGGGAGGCTTGCAGAAGCGTCGCTGGCAGCTACAACACATACGCCTGCCTCCTGCATGCGCGTGCAGGTGGGTGATGCCGGAACGGGCTCTGGAACCCACCACTGGCACCAAAGTACATGATTTACAAATATAGTGAATTGTTTAATATTTAGAGATGGGGATGTGATGGCTCAGCAATTAAAGACACTGAACTTATGCAGCTGCAAAGGTGACAGCCTGGGTTCAAGACCTGAGTGGCACACAATAGGGTGAACTCCCATTACTTGCCACAGCTCCTGTCTACCTGCAGTTTGAAAGCATGCAAATACAAGTAGATAAATAGGTACCAATTTGGTAGGGAGATAACAGTGTTCTGTGTGCCTTTAGAATATAGTCATGCTGGCCACATGACCATGGAAATGAGCCTTGCTAAAAAACCAATATGAGCATTACTTCCTAGAGTTGGATACAGCTAAACAGGAGAAACCTTTATCTAATACTTTGAGAATAAACCAGAGTGCTCAGTAGAGAAAAAAGAAAAGTATTAAGAGAAGAAAAATAGGTAAATGGTCCATAAGGAAATGAAAGTACTTCAGATAGTAGACACAATAGG